TCTGCGCACCAGCCCAACTACTCAGGAGCCAGGCAGGCATCTGAGCCAAGTGTATCTAAATGGTTTTCATAGTTCACAAGACATCTTGCTTATTGTGTCGAGTTATAATGCTGGACACTAGAATGGTACTTTTCCAAAGAGCATCACTTATGAAAATAAAAGTTTCCCCAAATTCTGAAACATATATTTTTACAATTTATTTTTGATGTTTAAAACCTGTCAAATAAAACAAAAGCAAAGCAATATATCTTCTTAATGAGGTACTGATAAAGAATAATCCTAATTCCTGGGCCTTCTTAATGGGATCTAAAGAGATATACAACCTACACAATTGTTCCTCAATCTTCCAATCAGCTGGCAAGCACTGATCCCACACAGAGGTTTTAAGGAGGGACCTGGGGTCTAAACATTCGCTAACAGTGGCCTCAAATCACAGATCTTTTGTTATTATAGAGCAATGAAATTCTGAACAAGTCATTTCATTTCACTGAGCCTCAGCTTGCTCCTTGCTGTAATGGAGATAGGAATAGTGCCTTGTATCTTGAGTTGTAAAAATCAGTATGCGGAGCACATGATGACCTCACTCACTGAATACGGACAGAAGAGGTAGTCCCCGCCTTGACTCTTGAGAATCACATGAGTATTTCCAGGACAAGTTTCCAAAAGAGTTTTCAAGGGAATTTAGATTCTTATAGGTAGTGATATGTACGCAACAGGAATATTTATCTCTGAGATAGGACTTGGATTTATATGGGAAACAAGCAAGCCTCGGTTGTGGTTTGTTGATACAACATGAGGAAGTAAATGAATTCATTTGGCAACTTTTTGTCCAAGAGAAAATATTTTAGGATGAGAGCCCAAGAACGCGATAAAACTACAAGATATAGTCCCTTACTTTCTGATAGTAGCTCACTTTTATTGTGCAATTAGAGTACTATAAATACTGTTATTCACTTGCGTACAATACCATGTATCATTCTCATGGCAATCCAAGGAAAGAGAAACCAATGTGATTTTGATATAACAAATGAGAAAACTGAGACTGCCAAAGGTAGAAATACTCGCCAAAACTACTCAGCTAAGAATGAAAACTCAGTCTGAAACTCAGACAGGGTAATTCCCGAACTTGCAGACCTCCCACCAGACCCCCTTGCCTAACAAGAAGGAATGTGTCCATTGACTGGGATTTCATGGACTGAGGAGTTGGAGCATAGAGGCAAGTCATGTAGCTTTGGAGAAGCAGGAGAGGACCCCTGGGCATCCAGGTTTCATGAAAGTCCAAGAATCTGTATTTATCAGGAAGTATTTCATCTACCAACCACACGAAGATGCACCTGTTACTCACCTCTGTGAATCTCCCCTAAAAATCGAAGATCATAATATCTAACTCCTAGAGCACTTGGGAAGATTGAAAAGCCTGATCTACATCAAGTGCTTGACACAATACCTGATAAGAAATACTTGATACCACCTTGAAAGTCTTGTGAATCTCACCAGAGTGTCAGTCTCAGGTAAGCTCGGTTTATCACTGTACCTAAATCTACTGACTTAACAGCCTCTACCTACAAAGTGAAAATAACTGTGTCTGCAGTGCTGGGGTCCTCGGCAGTGTAAACACTCTGACCGTGGCCTATCTGAAGATACCAATGTCTGTGATGAGACCGTCCACGCTAAAATAGGTCAAAACTGCAAATCAGCTTTTTCAAAGAACACCCTACCTTCTTCTCATTTTTAACTAAAGCCTCCTTCACCTGTCCATGCTTAAAGTAAATACCCCTCCTGGATGTGGGGACAGACTATTATCAGGATGGGCAGACTTCCGTCTTCATGAAGCTTGCATGTCAGTGCAAGGCGATAAACATAAATATGGCATGATGGAGGAAAAAGGCATTTGAGTAGACCATCACATTGAGATGAATCCTGAAAGATGAACGAATGTCCAGGCAGCTATCTCAGTGAAGTGATGGAGGAGCCATCACGCTCCCTGCCTTCCGAGGTCGGCCCACTTCTGCTGCCATGGGAATGAAGGTAGATGAAGTCCGTGCTGTGTCCTCCTCCACCTGCTGTCCTTCTGAGAACCCTGTGGTTTGGGCTGGGTGGGGTCGACCTTGAAGAGACTTGAGAGGTGAAGAGGGAAAGAATGACTGGATCTCCTCTCCTTTGTTTTTTAGGGCTCACAATACTATTTTTCAGTAGGAAAGTTGATTGAAGGGGCAACAGCAGCAGCTCCCTCCAGCTGAGGGTATACTGAGGAAAAACCTAGCTGTGGCCACCTCTCCTGAAGGTGAAGATCTAGGTGAGTCCCAATCCAGAGAATCCGGCTGAGAAGCCCCTGTTCCCACACCCTCAGATCTCAGCCCATTCTCCAGAGCACAAACACATACAATAATTGCAGCACCAAACTCCTGCCTAACATCCTCGTCTTCAGCCAACTAATGGAGAGGAAATAAATTCCTCAGGAAAAAATAAAAGGTAATAAATGTCCCTACACCGATGTGTTCTCTCACTCAAGAAAAGAAGGTCATGATTTGCAAGACTGTGCAATGACTTGCTATTACTTATCTCTCCCATTCCAAATTGTTCTCATACTTGGCTGAGAGATGAGAGAACAATCGCCCGTAACATCATCTACAAAATCTGTTTCCTCCTTCTCCCTTCCCCCATTTCTGCCCTAAAACTGTGCGCCAAGAATAAACAAAGGGGAAAACAATTGCGTGCCACACAGTTTTGAAGCAGTGGGGATCAAATGAGGAATGAATGTTCCCCCAAAGAGAAAACATTAGACTTTCAAATTCAAGAGTTCATTGAGAACATGGGCATACAGGTTAAGCCATAAACTGCAATCCAAAAAATATAAATACATGAAACAAAAGAGTGCTTGATTTTAGAGCTAAGCCGGCGGAAAAACGTGTGGAGACGTCTTCGGTGGTCATTTCAGGAGCCTTGTGAGCCACTCAGTATTAACTTGAAATGGAACAGCCTTTGTTAGGTCCTGAGACACACATGGCTCTTATCATGTAGGGGTGAATCTCCCTCCACAGATAAACTACCCGCTTGGCTTCACCCGTGCAAGATTCCATCAGCATGTGGAGGGCATGTGACATAAAGCATGTCCACAAGGGAAGAATTATCTTTCACAGGCAATCTGTCAGCACCACTGAAAAATATTCCCCTGTGATGAAATTATAAATGCCTTCACATCAAACAAAGCATCTCTTGTCTAAAGCCTGGGTCAATATTGGAAGTGATTTTTTTCTTACTTGGCATTTTGATAGAACTATGCATTAATATCCACATAATTCCACGTTTACATATGCCAGGTGACAAACTGCATATGAGGAATTATGGCATTTAGTAAAGGATATTAGAGACATCAAATGCATAATTAAAAACTGTATATTGAAGTATGATTTTTATATGTAGTTGACAAAAAGCAGACAGGAGAAATTCTTCCAATATTGGAAGCACTCCCAAACTCAATTCCCTCCTAACAATTCTCCCATTATGCATGAAGTTAAAGATGGAAGAAATCACTAGTGTATTATTAAGGGAAAGCATAATTTTTTATTTATTTATTTATTTATTTATTTATTTATTTATTTATTGGTACTGGGGATTGAACTCGGGACCTTGCGCTTGCAAAGCATGTGCTGGAACCACTGAGCTAAATCCCTGGCCCGGGAAAGCATAACTGCAAAACTATTGCAATTAATGGTATTGAAATAATTTTATGCGTCTGAAAAATTAATACTTCTCTCTGAAGACACATTGGACAAAAATTTTAAATCAAGCTGATCACTCAAGCATAAATTGTTTACCATTTTAAACAAAAAGAACATACTATGTCACAGAGTGCATATTTAGCCTTTGTCTCGGAAAGTAAATGAACTTGAACAATTATTTGAATGAATCTGCTGAATGTCATTGATGACTTAGAAGTGAAAGTCCTATTCCTTAAATATAAGGGTTTCTGTCTCAAAATTGTCCAGGTAATTGTCTCATCTCTAAATGCACTTTGGTTGATGAGTCCTCTTCCTCATCGAGTTTACTTGATGTATTTATTGAATGTCTATGAGTCCCAGTCTCTAAAGGAATCCCTTTAGTAATAAGCCGTGCTGCTTCCCAAATCCCAGGCTCCTGAGCAGTTGTGCCAGACCTCGTGCACCAAGGGCTCACATTGCTATGCAAGCCTTACACCCTCTTCCAGATGACAGAGCCAAATGCAGCCCATCTTTCCTGGCCCCATGCCCTCATTCGGCTCACTATGACTTGCTGTTTCTGCTTCCTGTGAAGCATCATATGCCGAGGCCCTCCAAGGCTCGGATGGGTAGCACCTCTCATATGAGTTCTTCCCTAATGTGGTTTGACTAGGGCTCCTCTTTGAGAGCATCTCAAGAGGACGATGCGTATTTGTATGGGCTAATATGGAAAGTGCCCAAGATAACAAAACGGGGAAAATGAGCAGAAGACGGTGGAGGCTGTGCTCTCAAACAGCACAGCCCACGTCCATTCTCTGATGTTCTACCATCGCAGGGTCTCAAAAGAGCCAAATGGTTTGGTTCAGCCAAGAGACAACACAAGAGAAGTTTGGAGAGAGGGAGGACATCAAGCGTCTCCCTGCTGCTCCCCGCCGGCTTTGACACAATCTCGTAGCGATGGCTGGAGTCCGCCAGCACTGCTCTCCACCCCAGTGGCCTTTCCCTCATGGCGCTGTCTGTCTCTCCCTTGCTCCTTCCCGGAAAGCTGCTTCTTTGTCCCGGGTGCTGACAGCCCAGGCACTGCCCCTGCAGCCTCTCCGGGTCTTGAGGTGCTTTGCAGACCCTCAACCCCAAAGGTCACTGGAACCACTTTTAGTTTTTTGAGGTTTTTAAGAATAGTTTAAATAATATCTCAAGACTTTTTCTCTTTCTTAAAGGTTTTCCAAAAACCAAAATGAAAAACACACATTTAAAAAAAAAAAAGAATGCATTTTTTTATCTTTTAATTATCATCTAGGTCTGTTGAATTCTTTTATGACTTCATGATATATAAACAATCTCATGTTGTCTATGTTTTGAAGTGTTTACCTATTTCATAACCTCAAGGTTTATGTCATCATCACTCTGTAATTAGTCCAGAAGTATTTTTAAAAGACTAAAACAATGAGAATGGAAGAATGATGGAAGGCCCTAGAAGGTGATGAAACTGTGAAGCTCATTGGTTCTGTTTTCTTATTTCATTGCCCAGAGGACTGTGCAGTCTTTCATGGTTTGGAAGAAGACGGCTCACAACATCGTCTTGGATTTCAGTAGCACGCATTCGTCACAGCTGAGAACTTTTCATTTTCTGTCCTTAATTACTGGCAAAGAAGAAAACATTTCAAGCGTGTTAGTCCAAAGATGCATGCAAACAGGCCGACATTAGCTCTCTCAACTCCAATAACGATAACAACATTGATTTACAGGTGAAACTTCAGATTCTATGTCTTCAGATGGTGATAAGTCAGATGGATTGACTTTAAACTAAGAAGGCTTGGGTGATGTTTAGCAGGACCCGGGGATGGGGCATCAGGAAACTCAGGGGTGAAGTGTGAGGAGGTATAAAGCTTCCAAGTTGACTGTGAATGCTTATCCTACAAATACTCTCAGAAACTATATACACATACAAGTGGAGAATTTTATTTTGTATGAGATATGCCCCCCAGTAAAACTAAAGTTACTAATCATCTACTGTTATTTTAAGTACTCCAAAATATGGCGGCATAAAAAGCACGTACTTCCTCTCTCAGTTTCTTTGGCCTTGCGATGTAGGCACACCTTAGTTGGAGCCTCTGCCATCACTCATCTAACAGATCTGCGATGGCCCAGCAGTGGTCACGAAGCTCAGCCAGAGAAACCACTCTTCCCAGGCAGTGCTGACTGGATGCGGTTCCTTCCAGCCTACAGTGAGAGGTTGTGCTCTGTTCCTCAGTCTCTCCACCGTGCAACTTGCTTTGTCAAGTGTTGACCCAAGAACACAACAGCATGCACTATATAAGCAGAAGTCACGGGCTTTATAACAATAATCAGAAAGGAGACTTGTCACCTTTGCTGGGTTGTCTCATGAGAACCAAGTCACTAAATCCAGCCCACCCTCCAGAGGACAGAGTTACCAAGGATGTAAATACTAGCAGGGTGATAGGCATCTGTGGCTATTTAGAAGTCTGCCTAGAACAAATAATTTTCTAAAGAGAATCAGGAAAGATAGCTTTCTCAAATGAGATGCCTCTCATTTTGATAAAACGTTGGATGACAGAATTCTTTATAATAAAGTTGCTTTGCATTATGCCTTTATTATTGCACTTATACATTGTTAAAAAAAACCTTTAAAATATTTAAATGAAAAATACAAAGGATCTCTAAGACCCGGAGACCAAATAGGGATAACTCTCTGTCCAAATATGCTGAAGGTTAACTGTGCCCTCACCTCTAGAATTTATCCCTTCACTAAGGTCTTTTCATTTGAATCATCCAGGGTGGATTTTCTTTTCTTCAAGGACCCTGATTGATTACAAGAATACATAAAATTTGAATACAGTGTGTGTGTTCTTTTAAGAAGCCTCACAGTTTGGAAAAAGGAAACAGAACTAACCCAGCATGAGGTGTGTTTCACATCACAATGGCTACAAAAGAATTCTCAGGAAAGGATCCACGCAGAAGGGACCGAACATTCCAACACACCCGCTGTGTTTGGATAGAGATGCTCCAAAGCAAACTGCTTAGGAGAACAGCAAGTGTTTCCTCCGCAATGTTGCTTTTCTTGTTCATTTACTTCTTTTAAAATAGAATCAGAATTTGTGGGTAGAGTGCAAACTCTTTCTGGAAATGGATACTTTCAGAAATAACATGTGATTGGCCTTTTCATTTTCACCCCTCAGCTACCTCAGGAATGCTTTCTCACACAAACTCCCAGCCTGACCTAGGAGGTTCTTTTCCAGTACCTACAGTTCCACCCACCACACGCAGAACCAGGTTCTCCATTCTTTCTCTCTGACTCAGTTTGAACAGCATCGTACCTGGACCATGATGCGTAAATTCCTCAGGAGGCTGTTTGTTCATAATGACACGGATTTTAAGACAGGTACAGAGAAGGCAACCTGAGCCTGGAAGAATGTTACCTCTGGCTCCGGTTCCATGAGTCACTGTGGGCCTCCCCTTTGGTGAATCCTGTGAGAGCTGTGAGAATTGAGGTCCACAGTAATTAACCCTTACTACTGAGTTGCGAGACCGACCGTGAATACCCACAACTGCAGATCACACCAACCCTACTTACCCTGTTTTCCCCGTCCATATATACCCATGACAAAGTTTAGTTTGTGGGTTAGGAAGCCCTACTCCTTCCAGGGTGTCCCTTGCTGAGGTATGAATTTCTTTCTTTCCTTCCTAAATTGAGAACTTTCAACTTTTTGCTAAAGGAAACACTTTATGTCTTCTCTTTGGTACATCTAAAAAGAGGATTGCCCGCATCACTACCCTTGAGCTTTGGGAAATCAAACAAGCATTATTTGGACACAAAAGCTACGAGAGTATAATAGTCAATCTGATAACAAAGGCAGCTACTAAATGACTATGTGTGAATTTGCTGGACAAAGGGATGATCCGTACCCTGGGCAATCTTCATGCTGCTCAGAATATTGCTCAATGTAGAATATATGAGTTGTCTCTGGAATTTTCTATTTGATATTTTTGGACCATAGTCGACCTCAGAAAGTCCACTGCAGCTCAGGAGGGCAACTATAGGTAATACCATTCCTCAAATATGAGGATTCTTAAACTAATACTACATGTTGTGAAATATCCGGGGGCAGATTAAACTGCCAGTAGGACTACCTTGTTCCTAGAAAATCACGGGACGATGCCTCTTTACCTGCCGTTTGTAATTTCAGACTCACACTCCCACCCACCACAGTCATTAATAAGCTGTTTGACTTGGACATATTCTTATCCTCTATAAGCACAAGTTCACTTTTCTAAATTCCCTGCAGAATTTACTTCACCGGGTTTTGAAAAATACTGAACAAAAAAGAAATCACGGTTGCCTGTTTCTGCTGTTCTTTTCTTCTTTTCTCCATTCTTGCCTAAGTGAATTATGTTCAATAAAGAATAGTAGAAAGGAAATTGCTCTATTGTGGCCATTTGGGCCAAAGCTGAAAGGCTCTTAGGTTCTAAGGTTCTCAGAACAATTTCTTTTTTCAAGGTACGTGGTTGCCTAATCACTGCAGTCCCCACAGGTACCATAAAAGAGGATTACCACTTTGCTAATTTTACAGATAAAGAATCTGGAGAGAGACAAAGACTGGCAATTTGGAAGCACAGCTGTCAGTACAAAATTGAATCTATTTGTATCTAAAAGTAAGTGTACAACCAATATTTAAGCTTGAAACAAAAAGGAAAAGAGAAAAAGGCATTTACAAAGGTAAGTGTCATGACTGACAAAGCTTAAATTTTTTCGAGAAATTGTGTTCCCCCTTTTTAAGATTCTCTAGGTGATGATTTGTTTCTGAGAATCCCTGATGGAAATTAGAGTGGATAGCAACGTATGTTTCTTTGTTTAATGGTGGGGACCCATCACAGGAGAGATGGATGGTAACAACTTTCATTTAAGTTCTCCTGGATCCCTAAAACATTTTCTCCCTAACCACCTAGCTCAGAACCTGGAGCTTCCCCATCCCAGTATGTCAGAGTCAGCTCCTTCTGCTGCTTTAAATTCCCTCAACCCTTTGGACGTTTTTGCAGCTCCCAACCAGAAACTCTTCTGCTCTCTCTGCCTTTCCTCTTCCAGGGTCACTAAACCCTCATGAAAATATAGACGCTCTCAGTTCTGACCCACAGTATTTGTTAATAATTATCCAGGTAGAAAGATCAGGCCATTCTTTCCAATATATTCTTCACAGTAGCTCAGTTTTTCAATCTCTTGAGACGGCAATGTGATCATCCAGGCCCCCACTGAGTCATAAAGCTTTCTTGGTTTCTGTTTTTCCCTCTTCTCCTCCACCCTCTTCTTTGTTTCTCATTATAGTCGTAATTAAATCCAAAGTCCTCTTCTGACAGAACACACACTCACACCCACATGCTCCCTTGGCCACTGCAGACTCTCGGATCCTGTATTATTATCTTACTGGTCTACCTGCCCTTCCTCAAACTTGTCCCCAAGCTATGTAGCACTAACGTGACTCATTCGTTAAGAAGGAGCCCTTATTCTCTAAGCTTCCCAACCCTTCGGGCTCACCTCCAACCCTTCTCCAGAGGTCTTTCCTGACCCACTTGCCTCCCTGTCCACCACATGCCAGTAGAGATTCCTCAGTGTTGTAAATCATGTCACTGTTTTCTGTATCTCCCTCCAAGCTAATTTGCTAAGGTTGCCCAATTTATTTCCACGGTGCTCAAGACGACATTTTGGAAGGGGCAGGAAACTAGCAAACATTTCTCAGGCATACGGTAATCTCATGACTCAGAGGGTACGGCTGCCTACCTCAGTTTTTTGGTCTGAGTTCAAGTCCATTCTTGTATGCAAGCTCTATTTTTGCCCGACATTCAACATGCCTCATTTTTGTGTCATCAAATGTCTACAGGTCATCTCTGTTTGGATATCCAGTGGAATGTTAAAGTACCACTTGCTATCACCCCAAACACTGCGTCTTCTGTTTTCCTCATCCCAGGAAAGTGCCCAGTGGCTCATGTGGGGACATAAGGGACCCCTCTGTGCTGTTCTTGTGTCCATGCTCCTTAGCACATCCTGTCAATGCGCTCTTCAAATACACCGAATCCGATTCTCACCCTTTCTCACTCCCCTTGCTGTGGCCATCCGAGGCCGAGCCCCTTGCCTGGCCACTGCGACAGGGATCTCAAATGGACCTTTTGCTACCACTTAAACCCAGGCAGCCCTGCACGGTGTGGCAGCCACTGAGGTAAGATGTGAGCAGCCCAGTTTACCGGCCTCTGGCCTTGCCTGCCGCGGGGCGGGGTGTCCACCCATGCCCATCTGTGTCCCCTGTGCGGATGGTGTGACCGCCTCCCACTCCACACCAGTGCAGCCCCCTGAGCTTCCCTCCTGCCTGGCGCCGTGAGTCTGCCTTGTTTCTGATGAGCTTCCCCTTCTCTCTGGAAACCTGGCCTCCTCCATCCTCCTAGTCACAGCTCCCATCCCACTGCCCTAGGACCCTTCCTGACAACACCATGTCTCTGAGATCTCTGCAAGGCTACCTTCTTGATTATAATCCCTTTATTTCCACTTATGAATCGTGTGCAATTTGATTTTCAACTATTTTGAAATTGTCAATAAAAGCTAAATCCGAGGCTAGACTTCATTTATCCATTGCTAAGAAATCCAGGATAAAGTGCTATTAATTATTTTAAATAGCAGAAAGTCATGCTGTGCTTCTGAAACATTTAAAATTTAACTAGTGACTAGGGATCTGTCATTACAAAAGTTCTGGGAGGCAGCACGATTCTGCCATCGTTAAAGTTAGTCTTTCGACTTCTGTTTTGCTATGAAACAAAAGAGGGCAAAGAGGAATCGGAAATGAGCAGAGAAGGGACTTTCCATGAAAGAATTTTCTGAGAAGGTCCAGAGAGGCTTTTGCTGTCCCTGCCAAAGATCCCTAAAGTCTATCCCTGAGCCAGTGTTGCCTGGAGAATGTATGGGGACCCCAAGGAAGGTGCCCAGGGCTTGCTTGCAGAATACACATGTGCTCATGATGATTTGCAATATACAGAGTACAAACCAAGAAAAAAGTTCAGTTATTCTGAAGCTATCCTTAGATGTCTTTATGTGCTCTCAAGTGGAAAACAACAAAATAATAACACAATGAAATAGGAACAAAAATGAAACTTCTGTATAGTTTTATCAATTAATTCCCAATCAGTGCAGATTCTGCATACCATTCACTCACCACTGGGAAGCCCGGAGCATGCCACACCTTCAGAACACCCTTCTCATGATGCACCTTAACTCTTGGCTTGGTCTGGAAATGAAACACAACTTTGAAAGTCATCTAAATTGTATACCTGATTTGTGTGGAAAATAAGCTAATTGAAAAGAAAACTAATAGGGCTAGAACTGATTGCACTTTTATTCAGTCCTGTAAGAGCAAGTTGGCTGCTGAACCCATGATGTCCAAATCTGAGTGGCCCTGGGTAGCGCTGTACCTGAACTCCGTGTTCCCAGTGTATTAATCTACAACTGTGGTGGGAAACTCAAAAATCTTGAGATTACACATATTATAGTCCCACTTACAATCTTTTAATGGACATGTATTAAATGTTGACCAGATTAATATAGCAGGAGAAAGAGTTCTAGTTCATCACGTAATTTTTCATTAGTGAGACTGTTTTAAATTTTATTATACTCAATTAACATCTTAGGAGAAGGGAGTTGTCATGTTTATTTCTTGATTCTCAATAGAGCAACTAGCACATTGTTCAGCATATAATGAGAACTCAAAATATATGTGTGTGCACATATATATATATATATACATATATACATATATATATATAACTAGAGTTCAATATTTCAAATTAACCCGTAGTATTTGCCATGGTTACAGTAGTAATGCCATATATTCATACAGGAATAGAGTTTATAAAGTTTTTCCACATTATTTTCTCATAAACCATTTCTATTAAGTTTTAAAATTCCTTTTTACATATAAAGGAGCTCTGCCTCAACGAAAGTCATCATACACTGCACAATTATATTCTTTATTATAAATAGAACATAGATTCTAGCTCATGTAGGGACAGAGGTCATCTTTAATTCACATATTTTGGCTTCTAATTCTGTGATCTTTATATATCGTAAGTGCTTTCAACTGTTCTGATTCTGTTATACAATTGTTTCATTTAATCTTGCCAAGTCTCCTCCCAGTCCCCTATGAAGTTTCTTCGATTAAAGAGTGTGCCAGAGCATAACTGCCTTCTCACTGATCTTTCTAAAGACCATGAGCATGGACAGAGGCAGGGAGACTGCCTGGACCAGAGCTCAGGGCTCCACGCCGGTGTTGGGCATTGCAGTTATGCAGACTCCACTTATACCCTGAAGCTCCACTTCCTCATACGCTATAAAAAAAGAATAATAAAGAACAAACTTCAAGGTTGAAACCTGGTGAAATAAAATAGAACTGCAAAATAGCAAGCTAAAATTTATAGGTTTACATATTTAGCAAACAGAGCCTAACTCAGCAGCTCCGTGGGGAGTCAAGGAAGAATGAAAAAATTCAACCACAACAACAACAAAGTGGGTTTGGTGCCTCTTCCATGCCAGCCCCTGCACAGGCAAGAGGTGGCACTAATACCCCGAGCTTCGTGGAAGCACACTGTCGATAATGAGCAAAGCACATCAGATGTGTCTAGTGCTGTGCATCTTCTACTATAAGCAAGGGCAACAAGAAAGCACTCAGAGGGCTGAGCAGGACCAGATGAAGGACAGGGATAAGCAAGGGCTGAGAGGGGTGTCCGGTGAAAACATTCTAGATAGAGGCAAAGACCCTGAGACAGAAATACTTGGTGAGGGCGGTGCAGGTCAAGGATGAAATCAGAGCAGTCACCAGGAAGTTATCAGGCAAGGCTGTTAAGCCCAACAAACTCTCAGTGAAATGGGGTATCCTTGAGGGATTGTGAATGGCATCGTGA